TCACTCTAAGCACATTCTATCTGCATCACCTCTTCAGCTTTACAGAGAAAGGGCTGCCAGCATTGCACAGTTCACCAACTAGCTCGCAGTTCTGGAGCGCATCATGACAATACGCTGTATCATATAATTCTTTGACCATGCCATATTCTTGATGACACCTGTTAATATTTTGATAATGAAATTAGACAAACAAAATCATAAGCAGCAGCACAATAAAGTGTATGTTTTCTCTTAAGACTCATGATTTTGACACAACTAACACTGTTTCACCAACATACTGGGGCAACTATGACTACATACAAAACCATGCCTTTAAAAAATAAATAAATAATTAACAGCTAACACGTGCCATACCCTTTCACACAGAATAAAAGAAATTGCAAGTGTTATAACAAAAGGCTCAGCTTTAAAACATCTTTTTTTTTTTTTTTTTTTACCAGCAACTAAAAATAAAACAAAAAAACAACCATCCTCCATATGCCTGGTAAAGGAATTTGTATTTAAGCCCATTAGCCATTTGCCTTTTTTTCCCCCTATTTGCTGTGGATTTCTACAATACCTAAAAAGACTCCCAGTCCTCCCAGTCCAGGCTCCCATTATAAGAAAAATTCAGTAAGTGTACTTACGCATTAGGTTGTAAATGTGCTTTTCTGCAACATGGTCCGTAAACAGCTTTATAAGGTCATCTTTTAAGTCTCTGTTAAGCTTGGTTTCTATGTAAAATTTATTCTGGAAAGCAAGAGAGAGAAGCTTTTATGTTTGGTTTTCATAACAGTAAACTAAGTACATTTACTTTCCCCTGAGTAAAAACAGTTCAAATTTTAAAACAAATCATTTGACCATGTAAAGTGCTTCCTTCATAAATGCATTTATATCATATAGAACAGTCCCGTACAACAAAAACACGTACTTAGAATTATGAACGCACGTGCTACTATTCACACTAATGAATATACTTTGAGGTAACAAGACTTTTTTTTAGTTTTAAAAGGCCTGTGAGAATACACTTCATTTTAGAACTTTATGAATGCTATAACTCCAAAATAGGGCTGGACATCATGTTTATAACAAAATAAGCATTTTACTAGTGTCTAAAAATGATTAAGCCATTAGAACAGGTATATTACGATAATAAATCATCAGTAGAGCTATCTGCTTTTGTGCTTCATTGATAATCTCAGAGGATCAAGAGTCAAAATGAATTAAAACAATTGCAGAAGTGATACACAAAGTTGTATAACATTGAACTATGTTAAAATTTTGAGCATTTAATTACCTTGACCCACTTGGTATTAATAATAAATTCTTTTCTTCACTCCTCAGAGGAAATTCTATTGGTGGGTTCCTTGAGGAGTTTTAAACCTAATATAATATTTATATTAGGTTCTTATTCCTCAATTCCAAGACTGCAATGAATAGCAAGATTTTTTGTCTACATTTTATGCATAGGTGTGTTTTAAACACTGAAAAAAATAGCTGTTTCAGGATAAATCTGCTATCTTTACAATACTAGTATGCAAATGGACATACTGACTTCATCTGGACAAGTATTATAATAAACAGTTAACTAGACATGGTAATAGAAGATCAATTTAAGTATCCCAGTACATTATCTTTGATTATTTGGGAAAGATTTATTGGTACTAAAGGACAGTTCAAAGAAGAAAGGTTTCTCACAATTTAATCAAGTTTTTTTGTCTATCTTCTGAAGCACTGAAGCATTTAACAAACAGAATAAACCCTCAAAAAACTATTAGAGCAGCCTTTGACTTTTTCCTGAACCCATACTCTTCACCATTACCAAAACACACTGTAGTAAACTTGCCATTCAGAAACCATTTAAATGTTCAAAGCAAGCATTCAGCACCAACTGCAGTTATTTATCTTTAAACAAAACTGAACCTGTTAGAACAAAGGCAGTCTTAGGGCTGAGTTCATGCCTCCATTGAATTGTAGGTTCCCATTGCAGCAATGAACAAAAATCGTAAGAGATTTTTAAAAATTTAGTAATTTCCTATTGCCAGTTCTCTCACTTTAGTTATCCTACCATACAGCCTTTAATAAAGGGCTAATTACTCAGTTGTTTCCCCCTCATCCGGGCCTGTTCTTTGTAAAGAGACTGAAGGAAAGCTCTGCAGATAGTCTTTTTCTTGCAATGTAAGTAGCTCTAACTTCATTTTTAATGTTTTCTTGTCAAGGGTTAATTCTCTTTGCAATAGAAATTCACAGTAAACAAGAGTGGTTGATTACTGGAACAGGTTGCCCAAAGATGTGGTGGTGCCTCCATCCTTCAAGATGCCCAAAACCTGACTGGACATGGTCCTGGGCAGCCTGCTCCAGCTGACTCTGCTTGGGCAGGGGGCTTGGACCAGATGATTTCCAGAGGCTCCTTCCAACCCCGCCTATTCTGTAATTCTGTGATTTTGTGCAACAGCAATTGGAAGAATTTTTCCAATGCATCTTCTACCAAGCGCTAAGCTACAAACTATAGTCTTTCACCAGATCTAAATTCCTAGATCATTTCTATCTTGAGCTTTCTGAGACAGCACTATCATGTAGGCATTGGTGCAACATACAGAAATGACCAAAGCATCACAAGGCAACAGTTTACTGATTTGATTCAGAATCTGACAGGGTCAAATTAATGCACCTTTAAGCTGACAGATGAGACATGCCCAACTAAAGAAATAAATGACTCCGTTCCTTTCCTAGCATCAGATCCTTCTTACATGCATCTGGCAACAACATGCATGAGAAGTAATGCTTTCTTTTCCGTAAGAGTTGAAAAGCTGTACTATACCTTAAGTTTTATAACTAGGCGAGCAACAAAAAACAGTAGTTTTCAGGAGGAGAGTTACAACACAGTAGTACTCTACTCATACACAGGAAAAGCTGCAAAATACCCTTCTCATTTGCTCACTTGGAAAAACATTTTCAGAAAAAAAGGTTACACTTGCAGATGTAAACTATGAAAAACTAGGTAAAATAAACACTTTGTTTCCAATCAACCCTGCTGAAAGGGGACAGCAGAACTTTAGTCTTCCCATTCTTGATAGTAGAGAAGTCAGCAGACTTTTCATATAAGATTTCACTGCCTAAGCTATATCAATATTTCTTAAAAAATGCAAAGTCACTTAAAGGCTTAACAGATAGGTAGAAAGATAAGCAGGTATCAATGCCCAAGAAACTCTGATATGGTTTAAGCATTTCTTCTAGAAACTCTTACTGTACAGCAATCTGGCCAACATCAAAGACTTGACTGTGTTAATGCCATTGGGGGGGGGGGGGAACTTGAAAAGGAAAAAAGTGAATAATACACAAGAATGCTTACTACCGTACCTTTTGTGCATGTCTGTATACACACATTGTGTATGTATGTATATATGTTTTATAAATATACACACACACACACAATGTCCTCTAGTCGATAAGCACCAGAGTGCAGTACCAACCAGTAAGAATGGTAACATTTTAGAGGCAAATAAAAATTCTAATTTCATCTATCTTAAAATCTCAGGACTCATGATTGTTAGGATCACTTCATGCCACAAGATAAGATGTTCAGCTACCCCCCTGAATGTAATTAGCTAATTTGAATCTATCATAACATGAAAAGTATATCTTCCAAGTGTTCATTTGAATTTTTCTTGAAGTAGCAATATAATTCTTTTTATTCATGTGTGCAGTATGTGATACATACAACTTCTAAGCTTCCAGAATAACCTCATTTAGATTTATAGAGCATACAGAATAGTTATATACTAGAAATAATTCCAAGGAATAAAGCATTTTGTACTAATCTGATCTCCAGTTTAATTTGGTTTAGCAGTAGTTCCAGCCTGAAACTTTTGAAGGTGCTTAAACCCAATGAATTTTGGGGAGAGAAAAGTACTTTGGCCCTCCATATTTTCTTGAAAAGTCTACTTTGGCAACTAAAGTCAGAGACAGCAAAACACATCACCCTGTAAAAAAGAAAAACATTAGTGCTCCTAGCAAAATTAAGAAAAAAGAAAAAGAAAAAAGAATCAATCGCAGTGTCATCCCTCTCAGAAGTTTCTCAAGACAGGCTCGGAAACATACCTTGGACAACATGCACAAGCAAGTTAAACTAGTAAAGTTTCCTGTATTTCTACCATTTATGTGCAAGGATAGTTTGATACCTACCAGGTAAATCAAGAAAAGCGCTGCTGTTAATTTCAAAACATATATGGATACGCCTAAGACAAAATACAGCGCCTCTTTTGCCAACCAAGGCATAAAAATATGTTCCAGTTGTATTAAAAGCTTTTAGGTTTTCCTTGGCTTCCTACATTTTTAAATGTTTAAGAATATATATTAAAAGTTTTCTTAAGTAGCAAAGTAATTACCCTTTCAGAACAAAGTTTATCAATGCAACTCAACAACCTTTGTAAGAACAATTAACTTCACTAACAGAAAAGGAAAACATTGTCATTTCTGATAAAGGCAGATTTCAATAACTTAGTCCACTCCATTTAAAAATACATTGAAATATATATTTATTAAAGTAACTGTAAACTGTAATTCAGAGTACAGAAAAATTAGGCTTTCAGCTCCTGCAATTTTGTTTTATAATTGTATGTTATTGTCTAAATAAAGGAAACATCTGCTGCTGTATGAAAGAAACCTCAATTAGACTCAATGTAAGAACTGCAAAAGTGACTGTACATAAAGCACTTTCAAATGCATATGGAAAAACTAGAAGAAAATATCTCTAGAAAGATAGGATGACAAATAACTCTCTCTGACATTACAAAAAACACTGATGAATAAAATATTTGGCGGGAGGGAATGAGTCTTAACTTCACATTCTCCTTCAAAAATACCTATGAAGGCTGAGTCAAATCAGCATTGCGTTTGGCACAATGAATGGCACACAAGTCACTAGCACTCAGTACTGACTTGAATGGAGTCACTTAAATAAGAAAGTGTTAGTAGGAACAGAGATTTACTACCTAAACAGATCACTAGTCATGTTTTAACGAAGCTTCTCCTTTAAAATAAAGATAGACTAACTACACTTTTTTTGTTCTCGAAGAAAGGAACAATTACTACTAAACTATTCATTTTACAGCCCTGCTTATTATTCATTAATCAGTTTTGACTATTTTCAGATATCAGCTATACTCTTAAAAACTAAAAATCAAGTAATGATAAAATTCAGAACATTCTCCTTTCAAAGTATAAAAAACATTCATTACAACTGCATACAAAGGAGGATATTAAAATCTATTCAGCAGTTACACCTTGTCTAGCCATAAATAAAGGTTTTTATCGTTATCATGAACGTTCTCTTGGATGCTATAATTGCTGTGGTCTTAATCACTAAGCATAGATTTTGACCAAGAACCCGACACATGTGGAGCCTTCAATAAAATACACACTGGAAGAGCTGATAATTTAATATCCATTTACAAATGCAGATAAGCATGAGATTGCTTAAAACCTGCCTGCAATAAACAAGTCGAGTACATACAGGTGGAGAAGTGACTAGCATCTAAGAAAATGTCTGAACGTAAGAAAAAAAGTCTCTTCCTACTTTTCCCAGCATTTCAAGACAGGACACAGGGGACAAATCTGTAGCAACTGGATTCCATTCTATATTAACTAGATAAAGAGTAGATTAGAAGGCACCCAGTTCAGGAAAGCTGAATTTTTCTTTTAATGTAACAAATCTACATGGTGACACTGTACTGAAAGACTCTACCAAA